TATAGGGGCAGTGATAAGTGTTATCATCGAAAACACTCTCTTCATCATAATCCTGCAAAAAACTCATGGATTACCAAAAAAAAAAAGAACTAGTAAAAAACACGATTAATGCCATTTAGTGGTTCTCCTGTAAAACTTCGGCGACAGAGAAACCAGCCAATCTTCGACCCATTCGTTCGTTCCGATGGCAACTTTGCACCAATTCGTACATAAAGATTCAGGCCGTTAATTAATAGCTATTTTAGGCATTGGATAATCCACAAATTTTAAATAATTTCGAATGATTTTACAGCAAAACAAACAGCAACGCCTTATAACACTGTTAATCATTTCAAAAACAAAATATGCCACCGTACCTCATCATCACCATCGCCTTTGCCTGCTTCATTTCGGCCCAAATCGACAAAGTTCTGACAGAAATGAGGATCGAGATAGAGTAACTAAAAAAAAATTCTCATAATTATAATTCTCATAAAATTATCATAATAAAATTCTAAATTACCATACATGAAATTTTAAATAAATCACAATAAAATTCTAAAAAATAAAATAATTCTCGTAATAAAATTATCATAATTATTATCATTACTATTAGATCACTTCCATTAATGCCGGTACGCACATGACAGGAATGCAGACAGGCGATATTGATTTAGGAGAAGTTGACAACTACGTCTATATTAGCCAGAAAGCAAACGAATGCATGCTATAATTTGGAGCCGGGGATTGTACTCTGAGGGCTATCGCTTGCACAAATTTCCCAGCGTAATCGACGTCTTCAAAGTATCGAAGCTGAAGGACTGTTCCGTTTACTCAGTACCGCTGTGTTGAAGACAATGACGTACGGATGCGAAACGTGGCCACTGACGAAATTTGAAGAGCGAGCGCTGGCAGTGGCGGAGAAAAGAATGAAGCGAAGATGCTTGGCGCGCCTCTCCATGACCATGAGAGATGAGGGAAGGCAGAGCACGCTGCCTGCTCATTGAGTTTTAGCATGCACAGAGAAAAAGAGTACACACCACTTTTTTCATCTCTCTCCCTCCGCACTGTACATGTCACCTCCTCCATCTGTAACGTTCGGGCGGAGGAGGAGATGGAGCTGGGGCCTGGCTTGCGGGGAAGTGCAACACCAAGCAACTAGACTCACCTCTTTATCAGCATAATCATCCAAAAGAAAAACAATTAGGAAAAAAAACCAACAGCCCGAGTGCCGCCCGGCAGCAGCTCCAAGCTGCCACCGGCCATACGCGATATTTCAAGCGGCAGCAAGCCAGTATAACTTTGACTAACAAGAAAGGAGGGACTGCTATTATTAGAACTGCCAATTCGACTGGAATTTGGCAATAAATTACTTCAGAATTTGAATTTGCCACTGATTCGGCCGCGATATTTTCTGTGAAAAATGGGCTATACGCTTAGTAACTAAGCGCAGTTTTCACTCTTACCTTATTATCGGTAATACCAACAAAATACAGTGCATGATTTGGGCGACCACCAATGATACCAGTGCATTGCGGCATTTGAAAATAAGCCTGAAAGCGTTAGTGTAGTGACAGACCAGAGATGAGCAACAAAAGCCCGAAGGGTTTTAGCAGTTCTGTCCAAAACCCGAAGGTTCTGTCCAAAAACACAAGCAAAAATCTATACATTTCCCGAAAAAATTGTTGAACACATCTTTTTATCAAAATTTTAAGGAGCTGCCTTCAAGCACACTACGAGGAAACGCTGAAAATACTTGTGCCTGAGAATTACGTGCTTCTAGAAGAA